GGAATGCATGGGAGGACACGGGAGTGCACAGGAGTGCACGGGAGTGCACAGGAGTGCACGGGAGGACACGGAGTGCACGAGAGGACACGGGAGTGCATGGGAGTGCACGTGAGGACACAGGAGTGCACGGGAGGACACGGGGGTGCACGGGAGGACATGGCCACAGGCAGTAGCCACTGTTCTTCCGTGGTTTCCTGGGTGCTGGTGTGATCTTCCCGCCCAGCCTAAAAGCCCCTGAAGACAGGGCCTTTGACAACTCTCCCTCAAGGTCCCTGGCCCGTGCTGACACCCAGCAGCAAGCACGCACCTGAAGAGTGGCGGCTCCCAGCCCACCTGGGCCCCTGCATTTGCCCTTGAACCTTTCCCAGCAGGCTGCAGTCACTTGTCTACCTGGGAAAATCCCAATTCCTCTCTCCTCTCTTCCTCACTAACCAGTGTGTTGGTTCATCCACATACCCACCCACTCACTGCCATTCATTCACATAGCATTCCCCTGGGCAGGCGGCGCGGCCAGGCCCTGTGCTCGGCGCTGTGGGGGGCCAGGGATTCTGACCCTAAAGCACCTGCCGCCTGGCGATGGAGCTTTGACCCCCGTAAGAATCAGCATCTCTGAGTTCATAGCAGAGGGAGGCTGTTCACACATGGGGAGGCTCAAAGAAGGAAAGCTTCACGGAAGGGGTGGCATTGGCTCCCTACACCACTCTCCAGCTGAATGACCTTGGGCAACTTGTCTAACCCTCTGTGTCTTGGCTTCCTTATCTGTGAAATGGGGATAATAATGGGTCTGCCTCATAGGGCTATGAGAATTAAATGAATATGAATATGAAATGAATATATATATAAGCTTGGAACAGCTTGTGGCACAAAATGAGCACTCAGTAAGTGCGGTTTGAGCTGGGCCCTGGAGGACAGGCAGGACTGGGGAAGGGGGTGGGTAGATACTGATTCCACAAGAGGGAACTGATACCAGGCCTTCAGCACACACAGGTGGATACAAGGGTCACCCAGGGAAGCTGCCATATCTTCCTGTTCCTCCCTTTGCCCAGCTGTAAAGGGACTGTACACAGTAGGAGATCATATCATCCCTGGAATGAAATAGGGAAAAGGCAGAGGGGAGACAATTTCCTCTTCTACCTCCAGGCTTTAGGACAGAGTCTGTTCTTGGCCAACCGTATGCTGGTCAGCTTTCACCTGTTTGGTGGCTAAAGCCTGCTCACCCCTGCCCCCAGCCCGCTGCAGAGGTTGGCCCAACAGGGAAGATGCTGCTGATGCCTGTGGAGCTCGTTCAGGTCTCATGTCACTCTCAGACTGGGCTTTGGGGCCTCTGATGTGGGGCCAGGCATGGGAGGGGACATCACTCCTGCCTCCCCCTTGTCTAAAGCTTCCTCCTGTGGCCATGGACAGACCTGGGTACCTTCCTATTATGTTTGTGGAGTGAGGAGGACAGGGCTGCAAAGAGCTTGTATGTGCATGAATACAAGAAGTTTCTCTAGCTGGGAATTCTGCTGCTGGGGAAACAAGGGGGTGCATGCTTTCATCTGCTCATCACCAGCTAATCCATTCAACAAGCAATTATCGAGCTCTTACAATGTACCAGGGACACAGTCTAGTGGGGGATGCCACCCTCAACCAAGTATTCACATCACAGGTGATCAGTACTGAGGAGGTGAAGCACAGACATCGCAGGGACCTTCGGGGCTGGCTCCTCTGAGCCCCTAAATGCCAAGCTGAAGGCTGCCCAGAGGCAAGGCCTTAGAGCCTCCAGCTGCCCAGCCCCCGCGCCCCAGGCATGAGCACTCCCACCCCAGCTCCTACCTCCAGCATCCCATCATTCCAGATTTGCATATAAATTTATTCTTCCCAATAAAAGAACCTATCAAATGTTTAACTGAATGCGATTCCATTTTTACCTTTGCAAGATTTTCCCTATAAATCATCCACAAACCAGAAGGCCCTTGCTGAACAATGTGCTTGGTTCTCAGTTTGGACAATCGGGTTGCCTACCTTGGTCCTCTCAACTGGGACCCCCACCCAACACCTCCCCCCACTGATGGCCACACTACCCATCCCAACCCAGAGTCTGTCCCAGGACATAAAACACCCCCTCCTCTGCCCTAGGCACCTTCTCTAACAAACCTGCAGGCAAATATCCCCCAGGGCGTACTCATTCAAGTTTGAGGACCCTTCTAACAAACCTGCAGGCAAATATCCCCCAGGGCATACTCATTCAAATTTGAGGACCCTCCCCCAACACACACACACACACACACACACACACACACACACTTCCTGTTCACACATCTCTGTGTGAAGCTTGCCCCCCAACCTCCTGCTAAGTAAGAATCATTTGCAGGACCAACAGCCAGAAAGGGTTACACCCAGGGAGTTGACAAGGCCACCTGAATGAGGCACAGGCTCTAATGTTCCTACTGTCACCATGGCAACATCAGCACCCACTGGGATGCTGGCTGGGGTAGGGGCAGGAGGCGAGCCCTGCTCCCCACACAGGGAGGGCCAAGAGCAGGTTTCATTCAAAGACTGACTGATTAGCTCACTCCTTCATTTGAATTCATAATCAGCACCTACTGTGTGCAAGGTGCTGGAGAATCGGTACAGGAAAGCAGGCAAGGTTCATGCCTCCAGCCTCATGGTCAACATCAACGTTCATGATATCATCACACTACTGAACGTATAAGTACTTGCTGAGCTAAGGCCCCTGAAGAAAAGCAGCACAGAGTAGAGTGGTGGTTAAAATGATGCTCTCTGGAGGCAGACTGAATGGGTTCCGATCACAGCTCTGCTACTTGCCAGCTGGGGACCTTAGTCAAGCTACCTAACATATCTGGGCCTCAGTTTCCTGGTCTGTAAAATGGGGATAGCAATAGTTACTAATATTTAACGTGTTGCTGTGAAGATTAAATGGATTAGTACAGTGCCTGGCACATAGGGAGCTTTCAACATGTGGTCACTTCCTCCACCCCACCCTCACCTCCACCCCAGAAGCCTGTGCATACAGCTGCCTGCTAGGGGGGAGCACCGAGTCAACCCCATCTTCTTGCCAGGACAGCCTCACAACCAAGGGCCCATGTGCCCAAGTTCGCAGCCCTGCGGCCAAGGCCAAGTACAAAACCTTCA